ACCCGTGGTCTCTCAGAAAGCGCCTCCCCCCCCCGCCGCCGCCGCCACCGTCCCCCTCGGGACCAGATAAGCAAATATATCTTTTTTTCACCCCATTCCACTCCCAAAATACCTTCATTCTTCTGCTGGCTTTCCCTTTAAAAAAACATAGTTCAAATACAGTATATATATTCCATACCTCTCTAAAATCGTTATGGTTTACTTTTATTTCACATGTTAGCTCGTCATTTATCGCTAAGTTCCACATTTTTTACCCAAGTCTTCCAGATTAATTTGTCATTTTTTGCAAATATGCTGTTGTGACCATTATAACAATGAACGCTTTCTGTTCTTTTCTGGGATGGTCATTCTTGATTATATTTAAAAGAAAAATACTGTAGTTGGTGATATTTGAATATAATTTCCAATAGTTTCTCTAATTTCTTTGAAAACCAATGCCCATTCTTTCTTTCTTATTTCGCAAGTCCACCACATATGTAAATAACTTCCTTTTCCCTTTCTGCATCTCCAGCATTGAGATGGTACATTTTTATTTATAATATTCAATCTTGCTGGGGTAAGGTGCCATCTCCATGCAACCTTATAACAATACTGTATTCTTTTACCCTTATAGACATATTCTGCATAATTCTTTGTGATCATATTTTGTTCCAATCCTCACTTTTAACCTCTTCCTCCAAGTCCTCTTGCCACTGTTTTTTCATCATAGCTTTTTCATATCCACCATTTGCTAAAATGTTATAAATCACACTTACTGTGCCCTTTCTTTTATTTCCTTCCTCTTGAACTTGTCTTTGCTCTATGATCTCCTCAAATTTAGACAGTTTTCTAATTTCTCCTACTTTTTCTAGTCCACTCCCTTGTCCAACTTTCCATTTGGAGTATATTTAGCCAAGATATCCCCTCTTCCTCTCCCAAGATTCCCTTTATAGTATTTTTTACCTTTCATCTTTTTCATCCAAGCCTTTATTGTATTTAACTGTTTTCTCTACTAATACTTCTTTAAGTTTAGTTTTAAGGATTTGGGGGAAGATTTCCACTTCTAAGCCTTCCTGCCTGCCTGCCTGCCTGCCTGCGATGCCTCCTCTCCCATTTCTCCCTATCCAGCAGAGACTGACTTCCTGGTCCTTGATCTGCATTTCGGCTGAGTAGGAGCTCCTCTGTCTGATGTAGATTAAGTTTCAGTTTAACAGGACATTATCCAATGCCATGGAATCCAAGGAGATGTGAAGGGGTTTTTTTTAGCAGTGGTCTTGCTACTGCCTACTTTAAGCATACTGGGATCCTATCATGCTGCAAGGAGGCATTTGCCTCCCCCGCTCACGCCCACTCAGCCGGCCTATGTTTGGCAGCTTTTAGAAGCCAGGAAGGGCAAGGATCCAGAAGACATGAGGTGGCCTTCACCTCTGTCAGGATCTTATCCACATTACCAGGGTCCAAAAACTCAAACCTATCCATTAAGACAGAACAAGTAGGGGCCATAATTACATCCACGGGACCTGTACCAACTGCAACATCCACATCATATGGATCTGAGCCATTTTGCCTGCAACAAGTTGTGCAAATGCTTCCCAGTGAGCTACAGTGTGGTCTGCATTCTCTTCCTGCAGGCCCTTTGCCACTCATCTGTGCAGATGCAATGGTAGCAGAGAATGACTTCTTCGCCGCCGCCGTCACTGCCACAGAATAGGCCTTCCAGTGGGCCCTAGTCCATGTTCAGTCATATTCATTCTGAGCTTTCTGCCTTTAACAGTCCGGTTGATGTCATTTCATCACCACCAGTTCCCTGGTACACAAGAGGGCCACTTTGACTCAGAAGGGATGCTTAAGGGCAGCTGTCAACAGCCCCGGACATTTCCCCTTTCCAGAGGTCAACCAGGGCTTCAACAGAATCACCTGCGGAGGTGACAGGAAAACTGCCCAACAGCCATCAGGAAACCATTTGCATCCATCAGCTTCCTGGGGTGGACCATCTTAACAGATCCCCCACCCCTGCAGAGGCTCTGAGTTCTAAATCCCATCCTGTAATGATCTGTCCATGACAACAGAACGGAAGAGAGTTCCTCCAAACCTGGACCACCAGCATCAACCCCAATACAGAAAATCATTTCTAGAGTGTGTCCTGCAGCCTAAGTGGGAGCAGATCCCATTTGGGACAGCCTCAGGGTCATCATGGAGGTCAGGAAGTCCTAAGCCACTCCTGACAAAGCTGCCTCAGCATGGAGGTGAAGCCCCCCCCCCAACAGAACAAGCCGAGGAGACTCCAACACCACCTTCAAGACCAGCCCTGTTAGCTCAGGAAGGGAGACTCCCGAGAAGCAGGTTGAGCTGAATCCTTTTCTATCTTGGGGTTGGATTTTCACATACACACATACAAACCTGCAAGACTGACGCCCCGTGAGGGAGATAGTATCACGGCTGACCACTGTAACTCCACCTTGCCATTGGCGGGTCTTGCCTGCTGCTGCACAGAAAACCCTGGTGGTCAAAGCGGAGCGAGGTGGACACCTTCAGCCAACCAAGACTTCATGATGCAAACCAAATTGGACTGCTCAGGCAAGATCAAGTCCTGAATACCTGTTGCTTTCCCATTTACCGATCTGACATTTAGCAGCAGCACTTTCCACACAGAGGGCCTGACACCAAAGTTGTTCAATCTATTATTGGTGTCCAGGTGGCCACTAATATGTTATGCTGGCTGGCAGCATTCAGCATTCCATAAGCCAACTCAAGAAATAGGGCTTCCCTCAAACAAAAAATTATACAGTAATTATGAAACTAGACCTCAGATCAGCAACAAATTTAGCACAGATGCTGCAGAAAGTCTGCTCTTCCTTTGTTGATGGCTTTTGGGCAAAGAGTTTTCCACTTACAATTTAAAAAAAATTACTCATTTTCAATTATTTTTTAAAATTATATTGTTTTACCCTGTGCAGAACCAAATAACCTGGAACTTCAGTTTATTTAAAAACAGATCAAATATATTGATACGTCTAAATGTGCATACCTGGAAAGAAAATTGTCTGTTCCAGCCACTTTTTTATTTCACAGGAATTCGGGCATTCGTGGCTCTAATTTATATTTTCAGAGTAGAAATTGAGTTTATTTAGGGGCCAGTGTTTGTTTGTTTGTTTATTTATGTATTTCTTTTTTCTTTTTCTTTTTCTTTTATTTATTTGATTTATATCCCGCCTATCTGCACCACCAGACCACTCTAGGCGGCTTCCGATACAAGATAAAATAATAAAACACAAAAATGTACATAATCATTCAATAACAATTATAATAAAATAAAATAAAAGAGAATTAGAAAGAAAAGTCAGGAATTAGCTGGAGGGAAGGCCTGGATGTACAACCAAGTTTTTAATTGGGTTTTAAAGATACCCAGCGTAGGGGCCACGCGATTCTCTGAAGGGAGGTTATTCCAGAGGCGAGGAGCCACCGTCGAGAAGGCCTGGTTTCGTGTCTTCTCCTTCCGGGCCTCTCTCGGCGTCAGGCTCCTCAGCCTCACCTCCTGACTCACATGGGTGATCTGGGTAGACCTTGGTGGAAGCAGGCGTTCCGCCAAATATCAAGGTCCTAAACCATTTAGGGCCTTGTAAGTACGCATTAAGACTTTGAAGTCGACACAGAAACGAATGGCAGCCAATGCAGTGCGGCCAGAGTTGGAGAAATGTGTTGGTATTTTCTCACTCCAATGAGTCTGGCCACCGCATTCTGCACCACCTGAAGTTTCCACATCAGCTTCAAAGGCAGCCCCACGTAAAGCGCGTTACAGTGGTCTAATCTTGAGATTATGAGCGCATGCACCAAGGTAGTGAGTGCCCCCGTGTTGAGATAGGGCCGCAGCCGGGCAATCCGCCAGAGGTGGAAAAAGGCGGTGCGGACTACCGACGCCACCTGCGTTTCCATGGTGAGTGTTGGGTCCAGATGTATGCCCAGGCTGCTGACCCCACTCTTCGCGGCCAGGGTCACCCCCCCAAACATGAGAGAGTCACCCAAGACGCCAACCACGCAGCCACCCACCCTCAGAACTTCCGTCTTGTCCGGGTTCAGCCTCAGCCCGTTCTCCTGCATCCATTGCAGTATGGCCGCCAGGCAGCGCTGGAGGGACAGGACGGCATCACCTGCAGTTGGTGAAAAGGAAAGGTAAAGAAAGGAAAGCAGAAGACCAAAGACAAAAAAATCCAATTCAAACAACAGTAAAAGCATTTTAGCCTAGGCAGTTCCTTCCATCAGTGTAAGGTTTTAGACCATATGCAGAGCCCTTTTGGAGATGCTGATCCTGGTGACAAAGACGAAGCTTTCTCCTGCCAAACTTTTCCTTTCTTTTCCTCTCCACCCCTTCAGCTAAAAATCTGACTTCCTGTAGTTTGAGCCCATTATTACCCAGCACTCTGGGACGATCAAGAACAGTTCCTGCCCCTCCTCTGTATAAAAAGTACTTTTTCATCTCTCCCCTCAGTCTTCTTTTCTCAGGGCTCAGCAGGCCCAGGTCCTTCAGTCATTCTTCATAAGGCTCGGTTTGAAGTCCCATGATCATTCTTGCTGCTCTCCTCTGAACTTGCTCCAGTTTGTTGGTATCATTATTAAAATGTGGCATCTGGAACTGAACACAGGACTCAGACAATGTCTCCTATTATTTTGAGCTTGCTTGAGCATTAATATAATCGGGGCAGGCCTTTCTCTCAGTCCCTCCACCCTCACAGGTGCAACTGATGTGGGCACAGGACAGGGCCTTCCCAAACTCTGGAACTCCCTGCCACTGGAGGCCAGTCAGGTCCCATCTTAGCTGTCTTTCTGCAAGCAGGCAAAGACCTTTCTCTTCAGGCAAGCTTTCTCTGTGTGATTTGGCTGTCTCAGTGGGGGTTTTTAATGGAGTGTTGGGCCTTACTGCTTTGAATGTTTTTTGGTGTTGCTTTTATTTACTATCTTTTAGTGAGATTGTGTTTGATTTTTTAAAAATACTTGTATACTTACTCTTTTTAAGGGCACCTATTGTCTTTTAATGATGTAAGCTGCCTTGGTTCCTTTTTGAGGAAAAAGGTGGGTGTAAAAATATTTTAAATAAATACAATTAAATAAAAACACCTGAAGAATGCTCTCCTTTTTTTGTTGCTTTTAGCACTTCTTGATAACCTCAGCTCATTCTCAGCTTTTGCCCTCCTAATGCCATCCCTGCTGCTTCTTGTCTGCACTCTTCCTTTGTGGTCTGGCCTTCTTTCCACTTCCTGTATGTGTCCTTTGTCGTTTTCAGGCCTTCTTTGAGCTTTTCACAAAGCCACATGCATCTGTGTTTTTTTGCTGTCTTCCACCCTGTTTTCCTCTTGGAAGCCCGTGTAAATGTGCAGCGACACTCTGCTTTTGTTTCCTTTGACATCTAGCACTTGAGTAGCACACGGGTCCCTTTGCTCTGTGTCCTCCTGGGCTTTGAGCTGCAGGGGCCGTGCTCCAGGGCAGAGAGCAGGCACTCCCCTGTCCTCTTGCCTCCTTGCAAAGGGGGGTGGGGGAGGTGGGGAGCAGCCTCCTGACTGCTTTGGAGAGAAAGCAACAAGCTGCGAAAGGCTGGGATTCCCTGTAGCTAAGCCTGCTCAGCTTGCAAAAAACAGAGAGAATGGCCCCAGAAGTTAATGGCAATCAGAGTGAAATCCCAAAGGCTGACGGTGCGCTCTCTGCCACTGAGCCCTGCAAAACATTTCTCCACCTCCTTGGGCCACTTTCCAGGGGTAGCGCTGGTGACCAAGAACCCTTAGGTCTCTGAGGAGGGCATTCCTGCTGGATGAAGACGTGGGAGGCTTCACTTCTTATGTGCCCTGAGCCCAGAAAAGAGACTAGGGCCTAGCAGCCCCTCTCCCACTTCTCTCCCCACCCCACCCCGCAGCCTCTCCTGCACTTTCTGCCTGTGTCCCTTGGACTGTGCTTGGTGTGCAGCTGCGCAGCCGTGGATCATGTTTCTGCTTCCTCAGGGTGACCCAGGCATGACGCAAACGTCCAGTCATGCCCTCTGGCAGTGTACATGTGTGCATGCGCCGGGGGAGGGGGGAGTTAGAGTTTGGGGGCCCTTTGGAGATAAGCAGGGGATCTCTGCCCACTGATGGGACACGGAGTGATAAAAGGACAGCTTGAAATGTAACTGTCCAGATTAATCATTACAGCAGAGGCCTGATAAGGCTGCAAGGTGACAGCAGGGGCCACCTAGACTAGCAGAGCCTCTCCTGGTCTGGGAACAATGCGGGGCACGAAGAAATACTCTCATGTGATTGACACGCCAGACCCAGGCAAATGGGAGGTAAGGCCAAGCAGCCCCTCTTGCTCGGGAGGGAAGGGGTGGTGCCTTGGGTGGAGGGGAGGGCCAGGGTGGAGGAGATGAGCCCTATGGGCAGCCCGGAGGAGCACCAAGATGGCATGGCAGAGCCTCCACCAGCAAACGGTTTAGGCAAACGGAAGCACGAGTCTCATCGGAGGGTGCCTCTCCTGGTAACTGTGCTTATTTGGAAGCAGACTGTGTTGATCTGAATGGGGGGGGGAGTGGCAGAAGGTCACCCTTAGAGATGGGCACCGACTGCTGGTTCGGTGATTCGTGCTGGTTCGTTTTGTGGCCAAAGAGGTCACCCACTCAGAGGCCGTGGCTGGAGGAGGCAGGGCATGGAAGCCAGGCCGTGGCTGGAGGAGGCTGGCAGTCCTTGAATGCCAAGATTGTTCCTGCAGATCTTAAAGGAAAGCAGGTTTGCCCTGAGACATCCATGCTGGGATGCCTGAGAGCAAGGGGTGGGTGGCCCTGGGTGGATGGCTCATGCCGCATCCATGTGCTTTAGCCAGCAGCCTGCCTAGGGGCTTCGAGGCCCTGCCTGGGGAAGGCGCCTCTGCATGCCTTCCATCTACCAGCTATCTTCCCTAAGGCTTAGTTTCTTTCTTCCTAAACTCCCCCCCCCCAATAGACTCATGGTAGGGGTGGAAGAGACCTTGGAGGTCTCCTAGTAGTCTAACCCCCTTGGGGCCCAAGGAAGGAGACCTGAGAACATCCTGGAGAGACGGCTCTTCCATCTTTTCTTGAGAACCTCCAGCGATGGGGCACCCACCACATCTATTCCTCTGCTTTTCATGGCTCTCACCCGCCAGCAAATCCCTCCTTATTTCCAGGTTGGATCTCCCTCTGATGAGTTTCCACCCATGGATTCTTGTCCTGCCCTCAGGCGCCATGGGGAATCCTTCGATGCCCTCTTCCCGCTGGCAACCCTTCAGATGTTGGAAGAGAAGATGTCATGTCTCCCCCTCAGTCTTCTCTTCGTTAAGCTCAACATCCCTAGTTCTTTCAGTCGTTCTTCGTAGGATTCAGCCTCCATTCCCCTTATCCTCTTTGTTGCTCCTCTCGGCAACCCCTTCCAGGGCCTCGCTTATTCCCTCCCTCCTTCCCCCCCCCTTCTAGCTGGCAGGTTATGAGTCCACCCTGCCCATCACAGAGAAATCAAACCCCATCACCCGGGAACTGGACAGAGCTGACCCCGGCCAGATCGTCCAGCTCCTCCGAGACTGTGACGCGGAGATCTTCCAGGAGGAGGACCAGGCCCTGGTCAACTACCAGGTGACTCTGCCGCCCGTTTGCTGGGGGTACAAAGGAGACTCTCATCTCTTGGGTTAGGTGGGGGCAACCCTCTTGCGAGAACTGCCCCTCAACAGCATGCAGAGGGGCCTGGTTTTTTCTGCGAGTACCAAGTGAAGGTGAACCAGTGACACTCAGATCTAGTCTGGATGCTCCCCATGCAGTGTCCTTCCACCTTTATGTGGGGAGAGGTGGATCGTGGCTAGAGAGAGTTCCACCAGGCAGAGCCCAACTGCCCAGACCGGGGGCGGAGACAGGCCTCCATGGGCCGGTGGTGGTGGTGGTGGTGGTTGGTCCTCCTGTCGTTGGAGGATTGGGCCCATGCCCTTCAGGGGCCCTTTCGGTCTACCGCTGGGGTAAGGGCAAGACAGAAAGCAAGCTGCGAAGCTCCAATCCCCTCTTCTACCTCCTCAGAGGCTGTACAGTGAGATGGTGCTGAAGACCATGATGGACATCATCGGGAAGGTGCAGGAGGTCCTGAAGGTACAGGAGCTGCTCCCACCCTCCATCTGTGCGGCCAGTGGGTGGGTTGGGAGTCTTCTTCCAGGTGCCCTCATGGGGAGCTGCTCCTTCTCCTGGAAGAAGTCATAGAATCATGGAGTTGGAAGAGACCTTCAAGGCATCAAGTGCAGGAATCCGAATCAAAGCACATTTATGACAGATCGTAGAATCATGAAGCTGGAAGGGGCTGACAAGGCCATTGAATCCAATCCCCGTGCTCAGTGCAGGGTTGTCAAATTTTCCTTTGAAGGCCTCCAGCGTCCTAGGCCACATGGCCTGTGAATGCAGCCCATGTGTCTCCCCCTTTTCTCTAGTGCAGACCCCAAAGGGAAGAGCTCACAACGTGAGCCAAGAACATAAACAACAAGAAGCACTACAAGTTATCATATTTGGGGGGTGGGAGAGATTTGCAACCCTCAGGGCAGTCAAACCATTGTTTGGTGGGTTGTGGAGGACCTTCTGTGCAGGTGGGGGAGGAAGCACACCCCCCTCCCTGAGACGAACCTGTTCTCCTTGGCCATGCAAGAGCTCATGGGTAGGCCTGCGGAGAAGGGAGCGAAAGAACCAGGACTCGGGCGGAGGGGAGGAGGGGGGCTGAAGGCCTCCAAAGGCTACTCAGGTGGGAAATAGGAAACCTAGAGGCAGGGACCTGAAGCAGGTGGATGGGGCCCCCTCCCTCTGGCTCTTTCCACGACCAGGAGAAGCAGAGGGACTGCCCGGTCTGGGAATCAGGCTGCAGAATCTGGCTGAGCTTTGCTCCATGAAGGAAGGGAGGAAGAGAGTCCACCAAAGATGTTGGGGCGGGGGAGGGAACAATCGTCCGGATAATGCGCTGCCCCCCGCCTCCCCTTTAACAAAAGGTGCATCCTCTACTCTGGCAAAACATCGGGGGGGGGAGGTCTCCCTCTCCCTCTCTCTTGGTCCCCCTCCCACTTCAGCCATGGCTTCCCTTCCAAGGGCAGCGGCTGCCATCCCAGGTGGCCCAGCGGGATCCCTGGGAAGAGGGATCCGGCTCGGCTGGCAGCACTTTTCCTTCTCCCTTCCCCAGGAGCCAGAGAACACCCTCATTGTGCTGAGCGGCGGGGGAGCCTCCGGCCGTATGGCCTTCCTCATGGCTGTGAGTCACTCCGTCCGTCCGTCCGTCCGTCCTTCCTTCCTTCCTTCCTTCTGCCTGTGGGCCAAGGCTGAGCAGGGAAAAGGCGTCCCGCTGCCAGCTGTGTGGGTGGCACTGGCTCCCCTGGAGGGTGCCCTGTGCCTCCCTTATGCCCTCTCTTGAGCGGTGCTGGGGTCCAGGGCAAACCCGCTCACCCCTCTTCTGCTTGTCTGTCCCCTCCCCACCAGGTGTCCTTCAACAAGCTCCTGAAGGGTCTGGGGCAGCCCCCGCAATACACCTATCTCATTGCTGGAGGGGACAGGTGAGGAGGAGGAGGAGGAGGGAGAGAAATTGTGTGTATCGGGGGGGAGATTGTGTAACAGCAGCACCCCCCCCCCAGAAAGGTCCTGGGCTGAGGGTCTGGAAGGAAGCAAGGCAATTGTAGGGGTTCTGTGGGGGGGGGAGAGAACAGGAAGTAAGCTCCGGTGTTCCAAATTTGGCAGGGGGGGCACACACAGGTGCAACCCTCTCTCCTCCTTAGGCTCCTCCTCTTCCCCCGCCTCCCAGGTGTCTGGTTGCATCCCAAGAGGGACACGAAGACAGCGCTCTCCTGGGCATTGAGGACCTGAACAAGGTGGGGGCAACCGGCACCGGCTTGTGTCGTGTGCTTGCGTGTCTGTGTGCACACAATGGCTGTGGCTCTCAGCAGCCCCTCCGTTCCCCCCCCCTTCTCCCCCAACTGGCCTGGGCTCAGAGGGCTTCTTCGCAAGGGCAGCAGCGGTCACAGCAAGACCTCCAGATCCCAGGATGAAAAAGGTCTTTCTGTGGCAGGCTGTTCAGTGGCCTTCAGGCCACGAGGGTCTGGTGGGCAAAGAGCCTGTGGAGAAGAGCAGCAAGCGGAAGGTGCCAGCCCCGCAGGACAAGATGGCATCGAGGGCCTGGGCTCTTGCTGGAGGGGTGTGTGTGTGTGTGTGTGTGTGTATCTGCTACTGGAACTGGGCCTCTGTGTGTGCATTTGTGTGCGTGTGTGCGTGCGTGTGCTGAGCAGGTGAGCACAGGCCGTCATCTCCCAAAAGAGACCCCACGGGGTCACCCCCAGGAGCAGCCCAATGCCAGCCCAATCCCAGACCGAGCACCCGCCCACGGGCTGCCCCTGTTCATTACCGGGGATGAAATGCGGGTGGGGGATGATGAAGCCTGCCTGTGAGAGGGCCTTCACCGTGGTCCGTGTCCCTCCCGCCCCAATTCTCCTCCCNCCCCCCCCCCCCCCCCATCTCCAGGTGTGCGAAGGGAAGAAGAAGGTCATTTTCTTTGGGATTTCTTGCGGCTTGTCTGTGAGTATCTCAGGGAAGGAGGGAGGGAGGTGAGTGTCTAAGGGGGGGGTTATTTACAGCACTGGGAGAGAGAAAGCGAGAGGCCCCCCACAACCCTGAAGGAAAGGGCAGGGCTGGGCCGGGCTGGGGAGTGGGGAGAGGGCTCCCTTCACTCCCTGTTTCCTGGGCTGGAGATGGCAACAGGCTTAACTCTTCAGCGACATGTCTTTGGAGCAGGGGCTCCTCTGACCCTGGGCCACAGCTTTATGTGCATGTGCGCACACGCATGCGCGCACACACACACACACACACACAGAGTCTCTCTGTGCATGCATGCACAGCTGGTGGCAGAATGAGCTCCCCTCCTCGCTTGCCTGCTGGCCTCCTCGTTGCCTCCTCCAGGCCCCCTACGTTGCCGGGCAGCTGGACTTCTGCATGAACAACCTGGACATCTACACCCCAGTGCTGGTGGGATTCAACCCGGTCAGCATGGCCAGGTGAGAAGGGAGAGCGAGGCAGGGTCTTCGGTGCAGGTGGGGTTGGCCCTTCACTTGTCCAACTACTCCAGCTCGGTGGGAGCCGCCCAGCCGCCCCCCGCACGCGTGCCCTAGTGCCATTTGGCTGAGGCAGTACAGTCCGCCCCCCCCGCCCCCTCACTTCTGGATTCTTCTTCTGCATCCAGAGGGAGGATAAGAGAGCAGAGGATGATGAGGTGGACCCTTGACCTCAGCAGTTGCCCTTCGCAAGCCAAGGTTCTTCCCCCTCCACCAGCACCCTGGGGACCTCCTCCTACACAGAGGAATTTCCTCCGCACCGCCCCCTGCCATGCCCCAGGAAGTGACAAGCCTCCCTCCTTCCTCCTCCATGGGGATCCCCAGAACCAGAACGGAATTGGGGCCCAAGGTGACAGACAGGAGGGGGGGCTGGAAGGAAGAGACCCAGCCTCCTTGGTCTTCAGCGTCCGACATCTCGGGATTTCCAAAATGTAGATTTCTCCAATCCATCCCATGCAACTTCACTTCCATGTTCAGAGCATCAGTGAACATTCTTCCTGAGGAAACGTGGGAGGCGAGGGGCTGGGGGGGGTACCTGGACTGAAACCACCTCTCCGAGGATGCTAGATGGTGGCCTGGGTGTCAGGGTGCAACCTCAAAGTCTCAGAGAAAGCATTAGGAAAGGCACTTGGTGCACGGCGTGGGTGTCGGCCTCTTCTCTACAACCCTTGCCCTGTTGACCCCTGTGTCTCCCCACAGGAGTGAGAAGATCGAGGGCTTCCACTCCTCCTTCCGGCAGGTGGCAGAGCGGATGGAGAAGCTGCAGGAGACCCACCAAGCCTTTGTCCTTAATCCTGCCGTGGGGGTGAGTCCTGCATGTGCTCCCTCTCCCTCTCCCTCTGCTTTTCCCTCTGTGACTGATAAGAGTGTTTACTGCCCTGCATGTGCTCTCCCTCTGCTTTTCCTCCCTCTGTGACTGATAAGAGTGTTTACTGCCATTGTTTGGATTTGTTTCAAATTGTGGCACATGCCATTGTTTCAGGACAAAGTTTTACCCTAAACCTGAGGTAACCTCTACAGTAGATGCAACTGTAATAATATTCAATTCTTCAAAAACAACAAAACCCCTCCAGTTTATGAATGTGGGATATTTTGCTTCTTTGCCGATGATTCAAAAATCCAGGAAATGGCCCAATAATGCCCGATGATTCAAAAATCCAGAAAATGGCCCAATAATGCTGCAGAATATTGTACCCACGTTGCCAAAAGGAAAAAAGAATGCCAAGCTTTGCATAACCAGTCGAGATGGTCTACTACAGGATGCCTTCTGCTTCTCATTGCCAATCACACTTTTTTTGAAAACTGCCCTGACTATGGCTTTGTGTTTGGTCGAGAAGTGGTTAAGTGATGTTAAAAAAGGAGTCAGCTTCTGGGGTTTACCCTTGCGTGGTGTCACTATGTGAACGGTAGTCGTCCTGGCCGGGGGGGGGGACTCCTGTTCACCACTTTGACCTTGAACCAGCCTGTGGTTCCATGAATACCCATATTATTTCACATAGTCATGAAAAAGGTGGAAGAGGCTGGCCAGAATTCTGTGGTCCGGTACCACCTGGGTGCTGATGACACCCAAGTCCATCTGCCAGCCTCTCAGGCCCCAGCGTGTGGCCTGGCTAGACTTTCACAGACTAAGAGGGCTTCTGCGTACTTGGAAGGCCTCGGGAAGAGGGTTTCTGCACATGGAAAAGGAAAGGCACCTCCCTCGTTCCTGATTTCTCAATGAGGCCTCAGGCTGTCCTTTGGGTGTCGCACCCCTTTAGCTGGCAGCCTCTCAAAACCGATCCAACAGGCGGCCCAACAATGAGATCTGGGCCGGATCCAGGAAAGGTGGTGGAGGTGGAGGTGGAGGAAGGTGAGGCTCCCCCTCCCAGAGAGCCGGCGCTAGTTGAAGGGCAACACGGTGTGGGCACTTTTGCCCAGGGAGGGCAGAACTTGGGTGGGACTTCATGCAGGTGCTTCTGGCTGCACCCCGGAAAACAGGGGTGGGAGGTGCTTCGTCCTTTTCTAGAGCGCGGGGTTTTCTTCACTTCTAACCTTTTCCTCCCTCAGCCTGAAGGGGTCGCCGGGTCCTCTCGGATGAAAGGCGGGAGCGCTACCAAGATCCTTCTGGAGACTTTGCTTCTGGCCGCTCATAAGACCGTCTCCAAGGACGGCGAGGTCTCCGAGAAGTGAGTGGCAGAGGAGGCCCTCCTGCCCCAAGAGAGTCTCCGGGGAGTCCCACAAAAGGGCGATTCCGGGGCTGTCTCGGGAGGCCAAGCGCAGCTCGGCTCGGCTCGGCTGCACCCCCCCCGTCTCACGGCATCCCCCTTCCCAGGTGCCTCCTGGAAATCCTCCGCACCTACGAACGTGCCCACAAAGTCACCTACAGCCAGAGCAAGAAGATTGCCGCCTTGGTGAAGCAAGCGGGCACCAGGTGAGTGGGTGGGGTTGGGCCGGGGCATTTCCTCCCCGCAGGCAAGCCAGGCCAGGAAGATCTCCACCCGCCTCCCCTCAGAACTTCATCCCACGGAAGCCTCCTTTTCCTTCCTGCCCTGACCGCCTCTCCTTCCTCTCGCAGCCTGCAGAAGAAGGCTTACGTCTACCTGGTTGGCTGGCACACCTTGGGGATCATTGCCATCATGGATGGGGCTGAGTGCGTCCCCACTTTTGGGGCAGGTGAGTCTTCCTTTCTCCAGGTGAGGCAGAGGGGCTGGGTAGGAATGGAAACGGGGCAGAAAGCATGCAAAGTCTCCCTGGGGCCCCCTCAGCAAGGGTGTGGGGCCCCACCCTGCTGCCGGTGTGTTGGGACAGAGGAGGGCAAGGGAATCCACTTCCTTCCTGGCCCACAGATCTCAACGACGTCCGGGGATTCCTCATCGGGGACCGCAGCGAAATGTTCAACAGGGAAGCTGACCTGGTTGCCCAGGTGAGGGCGTTACCTCTTGGCCGGCTTCTTTCTCCCCTTACGGCTCAGGCCCCCTCCAGGAAGGGTGGCCAGCTTCCTTCCAGGGGAACAAGCCTTGCCGAGGCCACTGAACAAGATGGCCCTTCAGGCCCCGAGACCACGCTTTACTCAGGAGGCGTGGGAAGGGGAGGGCGGAGGAGGCCGCGGGAATCAGTTTTCGGTGTCTGTGGCCTTGCCTGTCTGGCCAAGAGCAGCTCCCGCCGGAGGGACGCCTGGGACCCTTTCCTCCCGCTCCCTCTGTCTTTGCCTGCCAGGGCCCCAAGTTCGCTTTCTCCGAGGAAGACTTTGTGAAGAGCATCCTCCCCTCTCTGACAGAGCAGGACACGGTCCTCTTCCTTTTCACCATGGATGGTGAGGGACTTGGGGGAAGGGGGGGGGAACAGAGGCTGAAGAGCTTGAGAGGGGAGGGAGGACCAAGGAACCCAGGGAGGAACACAAACACTTCCCCCCCCCCAACACCATGCAGGCGACGCTAGGCACCCTCTAGCAAAGCCTGTTTGAAAGGGAAGGGGGCAGTGGCGGGGATAACCCCCTCCC